TCTTGAGTAGGTATACTCCCGAGTTGAAATACAAGCTGACGTATTTTTCAAATCTGACGCCACCAGCACGAAAAGAGGCTTGATTAGAGTCAGGGAATCAATATCCTAAGATACAGTTAATTTGGGAAAATGAGCAGCCAAGCTAAGTCCACTGATACTGGGCTCTGCTGGTCTCCATTCCTTTCAGATATACCATCAAATCGAAGAATGGTTTGGAAACTCATTAGACTTCGTCGAATGGGGTTGGAAACAAGATCCCTCAAGCCCCATTCCCGTTGGTATGGAGAACGACACTTCATCACTATCTCTGATCCAGCTCTTCTACTGCGGTGGCAAAAAAAGCTGCAATATTGCCTTCCTTGAGCAATATTCGGCAAAATTACAGTGGACTCTGCTTCAACATCGCACTCTAACCTGATGTGGAATTAATCTATTGAAAACACTTTTTCTACACCAAAAAATATATTGATGGATGTAGCCGTTACTACGTGGTAGGAGATCATAATGAAAAGAGAAATGAAAATTTCTATGTTTTTTACCACTTTTGACTGTAACTAACGTTAATGCAGTTTCGTCCTATATGGACATTCTCAAACTAATACAATAAACTTTCAAATTGAACCAGTGAAAACTGTACGGAATTTGCTGCTCGCAAACTTGGTAACAAATTGAACTCAATTGGTAACATTGTAAATTGTATTAGTTTGAGATTGTCCATATAGGACGAAACTGCAGTAACGTTAGTTACAATTAAAAGTGGTAAAAAATATAGAAATTTTCATTTCTACTTTCATCAGAAAATATCTTTCAACATGTGCTTGGCTAACAAAGTTAGCAACATCTGAGGTGACTAAGAGTGACATCGCATCCATTGAGGTGGATGACGAAGGTGAGAAAGATATCGATGCCAATTTGAAGGAAGTGAGGCCAGTGACTTGGAAACCGCCCTTTAGTCCTTAGACGAGCCTGATCAACAGAAACTATACAGACTTTGCGATTGCCAAGCACTATAAATATTGAAATATACAGTTACATATGTTTGTTCCAATAAAATGTTCATGTTAGAGTCTACAGTGGGTTTTTGCTCTTATGTTACTGAGCTCAAGATGCCATACCTGGGAAGCATAGCTAGTTCCAATGATGAATTTTCGGGCTGAGATCTACAACAAGATACAATTTACAATGTTACCAATTGAGTTCAATTTCTTACCAAGTTTGCGAGCAGCAAATTTCGNTATAAAGTTTTATTTCAACACAAAAGTACACTCAAAATGAAAAATTACACTGAAAAATTCCACACTTGTCTTCGGGGTAGAATTACAAAATAATATTCCGCATGGAATGTGAGATCACACACGAAAGTAATTTCTCGCTAATATGGGCGGTAATTAAATTGCCACCGGTACCGGTGCAAAAATTTTTACCAGTGTATAGGACGAAACTGCAGTAACGTTAGTTACAATTAAAAGTGGTAAAAAACTAGAAATTTTCATTTCTATTTTCATCAGAAAATATCTTTCAACATGTGCTTGGCTAACAAAGTTAGCAACATCTGAGGTGACTAAGACTGACATCGCATCCATTGAGGTGGATGACGAAGGTGAGAAAGATATCGATGCCAATTTGAAGGACGTGAGACCAGTGACTTGGAAACCGCCCTTTAGTCCTTAGACGAGCCTGATCAACAGAAACTATACAGACTTTGTGATGGCCAAGCACTATAAATATTGAAATATACAGTTACATATGTTTGTTCCAATAAAATGTTCATGTTAGAGTCTCCAGCGGGTTTTTGCTCTTATGTTACTGAGTTCAAGACGCCATACCTGGAAAGCATAGCTAGTTTCAATGATGAGTTTTCGGGCTGAGATCTACAACAAGCTTCAATTCACAATGTTAACAATTGAGTTCAATTTCTTACCAAGTTTGCGAGCAGCAAATTTCATACAGTTTTCACTGGTTCAATTTGAAAATGGAGGTGCTTACTAACACAGAATTCGCAACTTCTATTTAAAGCGATTTTTTCATTTGGATGAATACTTTAGAATTTCCATATTCCTAAATGACAGTAATTTCTCTAGACGTGCGTTACACTGATAAAGTTATCATTATAAGATGACTGAAACTGATTCCTCAGTAGTATACTTATCAAGAACCAGTTTTTGAGAGGAAGTTCTTTTGTTCTGATGTTTGAAATTTTCTATGAACAATATCGAAATCGAATAACATATGAAACTTTTGTCTCCTATTGTGGAAAAATTGTTTCCCTTTAACAAAATAGGAGTACCTGAATTGAAAGGGGTATATTTTTAGGAGGGATAATTTTTGGGAAAGACAGGTTTTGGCTTTCTACTTCTCCATCATCATACAGAAACGTGTAGGAATCTTCCAAAGACAGAAAAAAATAATTCATTTCAAAATGCACTCTTCACAAAGATGTGTTTGTTATAACTAAAAACCATTTTTCATCAATGTTGATTCAATGATTTCGAATTATCACTTTCTATGGCCGTGAACCGAAGGTTCAGAAAGTTACGGCAAATTTTTACAGTCAAAATTATTTTTTCAAAATACCTTCGAAACGATTGCTTGCATCAAAAAATTGTTGAACTAAAAAGCTGTGTATAGAATAAGAATGCGTCGTTGAGATCAACTACATGTCAAAATATTCAAAGGGGTACAAAATGGAACCGATTTACCTGTTTTTTGAAGAAAAAAAAANAGATACCATTCACAGGATTCCTACAAATACTACATGAAAGAGGTAAAATTTCACTTACATGGAACACTGTAGACATTCGATGTTTCGCCGTAAGACACTTGCTTTATCAGCTCTTCAGTACCAAATTCATTCATGTAATTATGACTTTGTGTCACGAAACGAGTTCAATCCACTCATGTCATCAATAACACTACATAATGCCATCAATTCGATATGATTGAAATTCCAGCCTAAGGAATCTTGTTTAGATTGAAAGGGATATACTTTTAGGAGAGGTTGATTTTTGGGAAAGAAAGGATTTGACTTTCCACTTCTCCATTTTGACAAAACAAACAGGGGAATCTTCTTTGCATGATCTACACATCTTTATGAGTGACTTTTTTTGAAATTGATGGCTTTCTTCCTTTCTTTGGGAGATTCCCACATTTTTTGGATCAAACATCAACCTCTTCTAAAAATATCCCCCCTTCAATTTGAATAAATCTGTAAACTTCATAACGAATACCTTAATTGGGTTTTAACACATAAATGTTGACATCTGTTATTGATTTGTTCTTAATAATAATAATAATTTGTTCAATTGACTCTAGAAACGAAAAAGTGATATTGCTCTTAATTTTTGAAAAATGTCCCAAGAATGCTAGTGCTAATGTTATTTACGCACCGACAGATACACTGAACAACTATATCAGATAAAAATGTATTACAAACTTCTGAATAATAATACAACTTTTTTGGTAGATTGCTTTTGAATGTACTTATTTTAAATGTTGTATTAAATGAACAAAGCACTCGAATGGTCTCAAGAGAAATATTAATTACTTAAAAAGGTAGTTTTCAAAAAAGTTTCGATTAAATGTATGATTAGTATTCTCATATTTCCAGCACTCAAGATTTTGCAACTTCTCTAACACTAGAGAATAGAGAACAAATTCCTTAAAGAATACCTATATTCTTGAGGAGGATAGATTGCCAGAAATGGTACAGTCAGACTTGCTAGTTCAATAAATGTATCTTCTCTAGCCTTTTTTTTGTGGCGTCATTTGAAAAAGTGTGAATACTCAAAACTACTCTAACGAAAAAGGAACACGTGGAGTTATGGCACGTTATTCATATTATAAAGCGTCCATAATGAACAAGATTTCTGAAAAAATGGGAAAAAGTTCGAAAGTTCCTTGAAGTGAATGGCCAACAGCTGTGTTTTAATACCTCAATTTCACCATCCTGTTGTTCAGTTCGTTTATTTTGCCAAGCTTTTAATTCTCATCGATTTCCTATGAAATTTATTTAATATTTTTATCATCTTGTATATATAATTGTGGTTGAACTCCTCGTACAAACAACATAATTATATCGATAGATTCCCTGATTCGCGTTTCAGTCACTATTATTAGACAAATGAAGTTTCAAATGGAAATTACGATTCATCAATAAATGTAAGATGTCATATCTTCAAATTATACAATTATGATGATTCCAAAAATTTTGAATTTCACAAACGAAAATAGATATTATTTTCGGAAACCCCTGAAATACAAACATTTTTGTAGATATGTCAGACTGGAAATTTCAGCAAGCATATTCGAATGTCAAGTTTGAAAAACTATGAGAGAGAAGAAGAAAATAGTGACAAACACTTATATAAGTATAATATATATTTTTGATGTTCTTGATTTCGATGTACCTAGATACACATAATTCACCTTTCTCTACTTTCTCGAACAATAAAATATAGTACTGAAATAGTTTAAAGTTTCTTTTGTACATTCAGAAGTGATTGTGTTTCGTTTTTCACTAACTTGGAGAGATTTGTAGAATGTATTGGATTTTGTTAAAGATATTTTCACTTTCATGTTATTTATTGTATCTAAATCAGTTGCAGATATTTTTAAATTATTTTCGATTTGAATCCGTTCATTTTTCTAGAAAGATTGGCTCAAAAAATTCACTAGAATTTGCTTGACCCACCAATGCAATATCGAAAAACAAATATGTAGTATTTGTGTGAATTAATTTCTGTGAATGCCACGCATAGAATACAAAGTTTACCCACTGACTTAATCATGAATTACCATAACATTTACGTCCATTAATGTAATCAGAACCAATCGTTGTTTGAAAGTAAGTGGTCAACAAATGTCGGTCACCGGCTACTCATACATTTCAAAATAGAAATCCACCAGTTGCGAAATCCTGCCATAAAACAAAACACAACCGAAGACGAACAACCGCAAGCGCGAATCACAAATTTCACTCAGTCGACGGAACTGTGACTTACTTTATTTTCTTCGTTCTTCTTTTCGTATTCTTCACTCGCGGACGCGTTCAACCTTTGGAAACAGATTGTATCTAGTTCCGCTACTTCGTGCAGTCAGTGCCAACTGCGAATGAAGACTCGGGAAACGTCACACCTGATCGAGTAGTCAGGTATGTGGGCTTGCCCCTACCCGCGCTCCTTTCTTCTTGTTACTTCTGCGTGTAGTTACATTAAAGTCGCTGAGGTCGTCCACGCAATTTGTAGGGGTTGAACAACTACTGCGAAGGTTGATCGCTGAGATCAAAATGTCAAGTTGATCAAAACAACAAACTTGCTTAACTTACCGATCACGAATCGTTAGTTTGCACTTGAAATCCGATTTTGTTGAAGATAACCTTGCATGGTGTCAGCATTCGGAATAATTTTACAGGCCTTGCTACTTAATGAATGGATCCTCCAGTTACTCTTCAACCGAACCATTTCCAAAGTTTGCTTCACCATTCTGTAACAATCCATTTTCCACTTTTCATTTTATTATGGTTGACGACACAATCTGAACAACGATGAAATCCCTTTTTGCCAAAGTTGAATTGTAGATTGAAACATAACAATTATTCAAATTACGATTGTATTTTTTCACAAATCTGGGTTTCTTCTGAGCAGTCCACAGTAGTACTCCAAATAAATAAAAATCAGAATGCTGACACCTATTCAGAGTCCATATTGGTTATCTTTATTCATACTACGGTTAGACATATAAATAGACGTCAACTAGTTCTTTCCTTGGTACAGGTGAGGTATTATCTACTTTCAGTCATGTCATACTTAGAATCGGTGGGCTTTGTGTATCTGTCTATTTCAACAGGTCAGAGAACTGCTTGAACTTTGAACCGATTCCAATTCTATGCGTGAAGGTTAAATTTTTGAAACGGTCTTTTCTTTGGCTTCGTATAGAGAACACATAGTGATGATTTGAATATTTTTTTTTGAAATGAGCCATCAGAATAACTTAAAGTGGATTATTTACAATCATATTTTTAATTTTTTGATTATAACTTATCGTATAGTCATTAGGATTTCTTTAACAACAGATTTTTTTGTTTCAAAGTTCTGCCAGGCAAAGATAGTAATAATCTTCAAATGTCAAAATCATAAAAATCATAGGAGCATAAAAAATCGTAAAAATCTCTCGATCATAAAAAGCATAAGAACCACAAGTAGCATAAAAACAGGAATGAATTGAATAGATTAGACACAAGAAGTATATCGTCTTGGACTGCACTATAAAAGTAGGTACCTATGAGGTGGCTACTTCTGCAGACTGCCGAAGTCCGTGATCTCAAGAATCAGAGGAGTCTATATTTGGAGGAATATGAAACAGAAGCCATCATTGGAAAAAGTAAAAAATTGGAGAAAATACACACTCTGATTCCTTCATACAGTGACTATTTATTTCAATATTGATTTAGTATTTTTGTTAATTAATTAGTTTCAAGGTTGCGGATGCAAAACCTTATCAAAACTCTCAAGTAAACCGTATTCCTGAAGGGTCCTATATCCCGGTGTAACAAGGTCGGTCTACAGTTACAAGTGTTAAAAAGGGGTACAGTATTTATAGAAACTCGTCAGTTTTGAAGTTGGAAACCTGAAGTTTCGGGTTGATGAAAAATATTGTAACTATTTGTTCAAAATGGTCTGTCACGAAACTCAATGTGACGTACCAAATTCTACACAGGCGAAGCCGCGGGCAACAACTAATAGTTTCATAAAGAATACTTCTGATTTCATTGCTAAACTCAATTCATTACAAACTAGAAACGGAGATGTTCTGGTGAGTTTACGATGTTGTGAGTTTGTTCACCAATGTTCCGGTCGATAAAACCCTACGAATTGTAAGAACTAAATCGGAAAATGATAGCATTCTGAAAATAGGACAAAACTGAATATACAAGCTATTTTGGAGCTTCTGAAATTATGTACCAATGAAACTTCTTTCCAGTTCAAGTAGGATGTTTATCAACAAGAATTAAGAATGGTAATGGTTTCATCTTTGTCACCGATTCTGAGTAACATTTTCATGGAGCATTATGGGGAAACACATCGAAGCTTACCAGAATAGTCCAAAGATATGGTGAAGATATGGTGATGATGTATTCTCTATCTGAAACCATAACCCAGATGATTTCAACTTTTTTTGAAATACTTGAACAAAAAAGGAAGTTCATAATCAACTTCCTTTTCACTATGTTGAAAAAGTCGTTGTTGATGCATCGTGTTTATCGAAAAAAAAACGCATGCTTCGAAATATCTCCACCATGAATCTAATCACCATGCTAGCGTCTAAAAAGGTATAGTTAGATGTTTGTATGATAGGGCAAAGAAAGTTTGCAATTCAGTTCATGATGTGGAAGAGAAAATAACTATCATTAAACAGTTTTGGAGCAAACCGTATACCCGATGCAGTTCGTGGGAAGAGTTCTTAATGAAATTGCTAAAAAGCAATATAAAGATACATGAAATATCCACAAATCTAACAGCAATACACATACCTCATATTTCATGTTCACACTGTGTCTGAAAAATTGAGACGCATCGGTTATAGATATAATGTAAGAACAACTTTTAGAACTACTAACACATTTAGATCTCTTTCGACACGAACCAAACTCGACAATACGGTTCAAAGAACGAAAGATTGTATTTACAATATACCTTATTCCTGTTAAAATAGTTATAAAGGTGCAACCTTGGTTGTAAAATATGATTTTTCCCCCTGGTGTTATATGTGTGATTCATTCTGTAATTTGAAAAAGTATCTATGTGTTTTCTAATATGTAAGATTTTTGTACACAATGCTGGAGTAGAGAGTCATAATACCTAGTTTTTCAAAAATTGGTTTGCAAGAGTCATCAAATTTGGCTTTTACAATTTAACGCACAGCAGCTTTTTGCACCATAAATATTATTTGCAAGTGGGTATCAGCTGCATTACCCCAACTTAATATTCCATATGTCATGACAGAATGAAAAAGTGCATAGTAAACTGTAATAGCAATATCTTTATTGGTGAGATGTGATATGCTGCGTATGTCAAATACTGTTTTTGACAATTTGCTACACAAATAGTCAATTTGAGGTATTCAAGACATGTGATTATCTAAATATACACCAAGGAATTTGACACATTTAGTTTCATCAGATGTATAATCAGTTGTGAAAATACAAGTTTGAGTTTTATTGTGATTTAGAAACAATTCGTTGAGATCAAACCAATCTTTTGCCGTTGACATAATATTTGTAGGAATAATAAGGTTTTCATTTTTGTTTGAAGTTTGTATCATCTGCATACAGTATTGTAGTTNAGATATCGATGCCAATTTGAAGGAAGTGAGGCCAGTGACTTGGAAACCGCCCTTTAGTCCTTAGACGAGCCTGATCAACAGAAACTATACAGACTTTGCGATTGCCAAGCACTATAAATATTGAAATATACAGTTACATATGTTTGTTCCAATAAAATGTTCATGTTAGAGTCTACAGTGGGTTTTTGCTCTTATGTTACTGAGCTCAAGATGCCATACCTGGGAAGCATAGCTAGTTCCAATGATGAATTTTCGGGCTGAGATCTACAACAAGATACAATTTACAATGTTACCAATTGAGTTCAATTTCTTACCAAGTTTGCGAGCAGCAAATTTCGTACAGTTTTCACGGGTTCAATTTGAAAATGGAGGTGCTTGCTAACACAGAATTCGCAACTTCTATTTAAAGCGATTTTTTCATTTGGATGAATACTTTAGAATTTCCATATTCCTAAATGACAGTAATTTCTCTAGACGTTCGTTACACTGATAAAGTTATCATTATAAGATGACTGAAACTGATTCCTCAGTAGTATACTTATCAAGAACCAGTTTTTGAGAGGAAGTTCTCTGGTTCTGATGTTTGAAATTTTCTATGAACAATATCGAAATCGAATAACATATGAAACTTTTGTCTCCTATTGTGGAAAAATTGTTTCCCTTTAACAAAATAGGAGTACCTGAATTGAAAGGGGTATATTTTTAGGAGGGATAATTTTTGGGAAAGACAGGTTTTGGCTTTCTACTTCTCCATCTTCATACAAAAAATGTGAGAATCTTCCAAAGAATGGCGAAAGTAACCGATTTCAAAACAAACTTTATAAAAAGTTTCGAGAGGTTTTTTCCTTCCAGTTTGTGTCTTTAGAAGGTTCTCACACTTTTTTGTATAGAGAATTAGAAAGGCAGAATGTCTTTTTTCTGAAAATGAGTACCATTACAAATTCGACCCTGCTATTCGATTATTTTTTAAAATAATTCGATTAAGAAATAAGTTTTAGATATAACATCCTAATCACATCCTTCTTTTGAAATAAATCCTAATGTTATCAATTTTTGTTATTCACAAATATACTGTATGCTAGAGAAGGGTTAATGAAACGAGAGACCATCATTAGTATATTTTGTAAATAAATCTTATCCCCCTGTAGAGATTTATATTTCATACAAAAGTTATGGTGTGCGATTCATTATGAAATCTACTCATATTGTTTTGAATGATATGATTCTCGTTCGTAGTTACTTTCACAACACTTTCTTTTACTTAAAATTGAATACATAACACTCAAATTATCATTTACATAAAATATATCTTCCTTTTGTTCAATATCGCTAGCTATTTACTTTTGAAAAAACATTAGAGGAGCATTACTTATTGTTCGTTTGGTTAGCCAGTCAATAAAAAAACTTTTAACAAATATATGTTGGAAATATATTTTTTTGGAGAATCTCTCATAAAAATATTCCTTTTTTATATCTATACTTATAAAT